TTTGATGGCTATGAAATACTTGGATATTTGTAGTGCCACGGATACTTGGAATATATCCAAAGTACCCTGAAGATAAGTTAAAGAGAGAGGTTCTTCCCATAATTCTAACATCCCAAGGGCTGATTGGTTGAAAAAGAAGTAAAAACTTACTCTACCTTCTTTAAAGAAACAACACTGCAAGCAAAATGCCATGGTGCCTAACTAAAATAGAAAGTTGAGAAAAGCCTGTCTTTGGCAAGTTGTGACCATCAAATAAGCCAAGTGAGGGTAGGTGAAGTGGGAGGGGGGTGTGTGTGGAGAGGTGGTTATCTTTGATAAATTGAAAAAATGATCTCTTTTTAATTAAATTCACCCTGTTAAATTATGCCATTCAGGAAACCACAAGACTGCTTGTGGTTCCCCTGAAATAGTGGTTCTCAACCTTACTAAGGCCATGACCCTCTCATACAGTTCCTCATGTTGTGGTGACCCCCAACCATAAATTTACTTTGTTGCTACTCCATAACTATAATTTTGCTATTGTTATGAATCACAATGTAAATATCTGATACACAGGATATGATATGGGAGTCCCAAAGGGGGTCATGACACACAGGGTGAGAACTGCTTCCCTAAAAGGAACATTGTATCCATTTGTATTATAGTAACTTCCTATTTTCTCTCCTCCAGCTTCTAGCAACCACTCATTTATCTTGTGTCTCTGGATTTGCTTATGAACAGAATCATGTAATATGATCTCCATGTCTTACCTCTTTTAACTTAACATATTGTTTCCAAGGTTTCTCCATGATAGAGCATGAGAGGTACTTTATATATTTTTTTGTTGTTGTTGAATAATACCCACTGTATAGGCAAATATATGTCACATTTTATCTTTTCATGGTTGGTTGACTGTTTCTATTTATTTCTTTACTCTTTCAAGTAAGGCCATTATGAACATTGTGTTCAGGTTTTTCTTTTTCTTTTGCATGAAAATATGGTTTTCATTCTCATAGGTATTATTAAACCAGAAATAGGATTCCTGGGTCATATGGTAACTTTTAATGAAGTTTTTGAGGGAGACCATGATATTCTTTTAACAAAGTGTTTGCACCATTTTACATTCTTAGCAGCAATGTGATGATTCCAGTTTTTCTTCATAGATTTTGTGTGTTTTCAATTACACTTTGAAAAGTGATATTTAATTGTAATTTTATTTTTATTATCTTTGTAGTCATTGAAGTTGAGCCCTTTTTCATGTTTATTTTTATTAGCCACTTGTTAACTTCGAGGAATACCAAATTCTTTGCCCATTTGGATTTGGTTCTTTCAGTTCAAAATATGAATGTAAAATAATCAAGCAAGCTATTATAAATACATATCCTTAAAGATGTCAGTTTTTACAAATGTCATTTTTTATAAACGTTCTCAATGAAGATGTCATCAAAAATTTTTGGCTTATAGCTAGACCAGATGATCAGGCAAGATCAGGCAAGTATGACTAGCTAAGAAAAGCTGAAAGTTAAGAGCAGTAAGTATGGCTAGCCCTGCTATACATTTTAATCTTTTAAAACTAAAATTACATGGTATCAATACAGGAATACATTGACCAATGGAAGAGAATAGAAAATATAGAAACACACCCAATTATACATGGAAATTTAGTATTTTAATAAAGGGAACATTCTAATGGTAGTGAGGAAAATAAAAAATTAAAATATGTATTTCACTTATTTATTCTTTTACAAGGGTGTGCATGTCTGCGTGTAAGCTCCAAATATGGAGGTAAAAATATGGACTGCCTCACAAATTTACATATCATTTCTACATAAGGGCCATCCTAATCTCCATATCACTCTAGTTTTAATATATGTGCCGCTGAAGTAAGCATATGGGATTTTGAATATCTGGTGTTTGTGGTACTGGGATAATCAACTTGGAAAAGATATGTTTAGACACATTTTTCATACCATGCACCAGGATGTACATACAAAAAATTAACATACTAATCAAAATAACATGAAGGAAAAAAGGGTAAATTATGATCTAGATATGAAGAAACTTTACTATGACTTAGTATAGCTGCAAAAATGAAAATAATAGATATAATTACATATATAGGTATATAGTTAATATGTTAAATATCCAAAGTGCTTCAGAATCTGAAACTTAAGTGTTAATATAATGCTATAAGTAGAAATTTTCACACCACAGAACTTCGTTTCCTGTACAAAATAACTTTTGGATACATAAGGTGTATATGAAAAAAATATACTTAGATCTGGTTTCCTTCCTATGCATCTCATTATTTTTGTGTAAATATTGCAAGATCCAAAATCTGAAACACTTCTGATCTCAAGCATTTTAGACAACAGTTACTTAATTTGCATATATGTATGTAGTATTTTTGTATGTATAGATATATACGCATATTTGGTGTTTGTTGCAGGGGATCAAATCTTGGATTTTGCACATGCTAGGTAAGTACCCTGCTACTGAGCTACATCACAAACTTATATAAATCCCTTTTTCATAAAAGAGATCATAGTAATCAAATCAAGAAGCAAATGATAGATTAAAAGGACATTTCTCACTTATATAATGGACATGAGTTAATCTCTAAAATACATAAAATATCTCCTAAAACTACTAAGTGGGAGCTTGTGAACACAGAGGATTCATGTAGATAGCTATAATCTTGGCTTATGTGGCAAATGATGACCAATATCATATTTAAAGATTTATTTCTGTTTTATATATACTGGTATTTTGCCAGCATATATGTATGTGTATCATGTGAGTGTAGTGGCAGCAAAGGCCAGAAGAGGGTGTCAGAGTTACAGACTTATTATTTGTTGTGTGGATGTTGGGAATTGAATGCCATTTCTCTGAAAGAGCCAATGTTCTTTTTTTCCCCTCTTTTCATAGTATTTATGTTGATTATTTGGGAATTTCACAACATGAACTTGGATCACACTCATTTCTCAGTCCTCCCAGGCCCACCCTTCCAAATAGAAAAAGGAGGAGGATGAAGAGGAGGAGGAGGGGGAGGGAGAATGGAGAAAGGAGAAGAGGAGGAAGAAGAAGAGAAAGAGGGCTAAGAGGAGGAGGAGGAAGAGGAAGAAGAGGAAAAGGAGGAAGAAGTAGTTGTTCAATTTATGTTGGCCCTATTCTCAATGGAGTATGGTCAAACTCCTGGTGGTCAGCCTGTTAAAGAAGACTGAGTCTATCCCCACCTGCATCCCTGCCAGAAGCCAACAGTTAGAATCCTTATACAAATTTTAAGAGTTATCTTCTATGGCTTTCTTTAGGCTGTTATTTTTTGGGGTAGTGGGGGTAGGATTTGCTTAGGGGTTATCATACAGGAGTTCTGTGTCTCTTTTTCTCAACTGTGTTGTCAGTACCATGGCAAAAGAAGCTTCCTTGTTTTTTACTGTCAGTGGAACATGGACCATGGACTCCTACATAATCTCTGACAACAACATATGCCTGGACCTCATCATGGTCTGCAGTGGCAGTACAGACCACGGACATCAACATGGTCCTCTGCTGCAGCATTGGCCATGGACACCAGCTATTGTTTTTAACCACTGAGCCATCACTCCAGACCTTCCCAACATAATTTTTAATAAGAGTGATGCAAATTAAAACATCAAAAGGAAATCACTTCTTTTATACTAACAAAAAAGCAGCATTTGAATAACATTTTGTTGGCAACAAATGTTATTTTATATACTTCTGTTGTAAATATAAAATGATAGCAATTCAGAGAAATTTTAGCACTAAAAGCAGAATTACACATGTACTTTATGATCCAGTAGTCCTATATCTTACAGATATGTACTGAGAAATATAGGAGTAATACAAACACAATAGTACATAGAACTTGTGGTAATATTTCTAACAGGAAAAGGCACAACAATTTAATTTTATGTTGAATTCAACAAAGCAACTCTTAAAAAATAGAAATCATAGGTGTAACTAGATATAAAATATATTAAAATTGTCATGTCTTGATATTAAATTTTTATATATGATAATGCTATTATGATTATCTTTAAAAGAGTACCTCTTAGAAATGTTATAATTTATTTCAGATGTTTTAATACTTTAGCTAGAGCTTTTCAAAAGTTAACTCCCAAGTCACATCTTTTACTGATTACTATATAAGCATTTTTTATTTAATTATGTTTAAAACTTATTTTAAAGTAAGCAGGAAGTGTAGGGCAAGTTAGAGGTAGAGATAAAATAAGATTTACCATGAGTTGAAGGTTGTTTAATTTAGGCGATTTTGTTGTTGTGGGTTCTCTTGTGTGTGTGTTTAAATTTCCCACAAAATGTTTAGAATTTAGATTATTGTAAATAAACAGAGTTCCTTGGGAACCGGCATATTGGAATTAGGGTAGGAAACTGGACAAAAAATTCTTATGTACTATGTTCCTGATAAGTATAATACATAATCCATTTGTAATATATCTTATTTGTGTGCTTGCTCTCTTTCTTACCTGTGTGTGTGTGTGTGTGTGTGTGTGTGTGAGTGTGTGAATGATACAGTATTTAAGATATATTTTTCTGTTAGTTTAATTCTTAATATTAAGATAATTTTTGAGTCCCAATTTCAAATGATTTTGGATATCAAAATAATTGATATAGAGGAAGTGAAAATTTTCTGTCACACTTTTTATGACAGCCATATTTTCAGATTTTGCTTGGACATAAATCTAGATGTATCAGATGTAAAAGAATATTGAAAAGGGAATTTTTCATTTTCAAATTGTAACATTGAAATTGTTCATTTAATAATTTTAAGTATGCTGTTCTGATAAATTGTAATTCTGATAAAATATTGTATAAAATTATATGGAAGAGTAAAATTGTATCTTTTAAATATTTTTCTTCAGATCGGTCATGCATTAGAAAGACATACTATGGTTTGTTTAGATATTGCCAGTAGCATTAACCATGATGATTTTGTGCTTTCTTTTTTACAAATAGGTTGATATCAAAATTGGAAGTTTTCTAGTTATTAGAAATTGAAAGTAATGGCAGCAGAATTTATAAAGAGTTGTTGTAGAGGATGTTTTTATGGTGAAACGGAAAAGCACAAGTGTGAGTATTATTTTGATTTTGGTAAACACTTAGTGCCTTCTTTGCCATTTTATAATACATGAATAAATTAAGAATGTCTTCTGACTTAGAAGGGAAGGCCAAAAGGGAAAGCATACTAGATCATTCTTTCAGAAACTCCTAGGGACCCTGAATGAAGTATAGTGGAAAGACTGATTAAATCCAACCGTGAGACAACCCTGTACACCACTATAAAGATAGCATTTGCTGTGGGAGTCTGAATAGGACTTAGCAAATGGTGGGAAGAAGGAAGTATGAAAATATAAGAGTTGGACATAGGCAGGTAAAGGAAATATAGTCAAGGTAAGGAGAGATGTGTGCTTGGGGAACAATAAATTCTGGCAAATATTTTGATGCGAATAAAGACAACTTCCACTTTATGTACAGTGCATTAAAAATACCTTGTGAACAAATGATCACTGTGCTAGCTAACTTTATGTTAACTTGACACAAGTTAGATTTATTTGGGAAGGGGGAACCTTAATTGAGAAATTGCCCCCACAAGATTTGCTGGTAGACAATCCTTTCATGCATTTTCTTGATGGATTATTGATGTGTATGTGTAGGGGGAGGGCACCTCACTGTGGGTAGTCCTGGTGATCCTGGGTGCTATAAGAAATCAGGCTCGGGAAGCCAATAAGCAGCACTCTTCTTGGCTTCTGTTTTAGTTTCCCCTTCAAGTTTCTGCCCTGAGTTCCCTTGATAGTGGACTACAAGCTATAAGCTGAAATAATTTCCTTTCCTCCTTATGTTGATTTGGTCATGTGAAAACTCCAAGACAATCACTGAAGAAGAAACTCATAACTTTATCAAGTCTTGTATTTATGAAGGATTCTTAGTCTAGCTATTTCCTTTTATATTGTATAGTTACTTATCACTCCAGGGTTAAGATTAGAACCTTTTCTCTGGCACTTTTAGTTCTTGTAGGATAGAACTTCTTAGTATATATCTGGATATGAAGTTATATTAGTCTATTTTATGATGCCAATAATACAGTACCTCTGTTATTATTGGATAAGAGGTTTATTTTGACATACAGTTCTGAAGGTCAAAGGTGATGTTGTTTGTTTTGTTGGTGGCAGTATCCTGAGGCAGTGCAGAGTATCACTTGACAGATAAATGGGAATGAACACGTGTAACTTTGTTTCTCTCTGTCTCCTACAAAGCCACCATCACTCAACCATGGATTCTCTACCCTCTCAAAGGATACTAATCCCAAAGGCCCCACATCTAAACATACGATTTGGTTTAAGTTTCCATAGAGAATTTTACATTTCTTACAGTGGAGATTGTGGGCTAATACCCTTATAGAAGGGATTAAATATCAACACATGGGGATACACTTAAACCTTTATCCAGTCTGTAGCAAAAGGTTTCTTTTTTTATATTAAAACATTCCACAAATTCCTGTAGTATAGTAGTTGTACTTCTATTCATCCTGCAGATAATACTATTGTCATACATAAAGATCAGCTGTCCCTTTCCACCTTATCTTAGGTTGTGCAGTTATGTATATTTTAGAGAAAGATAAAATAGTCTATAGAGACTCAGGCAGAGGCAGTTGCTAATATGATAAATATTTGGTCAGTATTCATTTTGTTTAGTGATTTGGTGGAAAGTTTAATAGACTTGAAGATTTTTGGCTTCTCAGGATTATGTATTTGAGACTCAGGTTTACCCATAAAATTGACAAAAATTGCTTTGTTTATAGCATTTCAAAATGACTAGATTTTTTTGTTTTACTTGAAGACACTACTTATTTAACTGTGAAATAAACTTTGCTTTCCATAAATGAGCTTTTATGGAAATGACTCTTAAGAACTTCTTTTCCCGTTCTAATAGAATAATGTGTTTTGGCAGTAACGTTAATTGATCAAATCTTGGTTGGCCAAGATTAATGTAGATTCCAGAAGAGGTTGTTAGAACTCAAGAGTAGCTTGAATCAGGATGTTTTTCTAAAATTAGTTTTAAAAGGCCCAGCTGGCAAATACTGTTGTCCTAGTATTCAAGAAGCAGAAGCAAACAGCAGATTCTATCAGATCTTTGTGAATTCTAGGCAAGTGTGGTCTCCCGTGCAAGTTCCAAGCCAGTTAAAGATACATAGTAAAACCTTGACTCAAAATAAAACAAAATAATAAAGTGATTTTAAAAAGTTCCAACCATTCTGGGTTTAGATTATTATATATAATCTATATGCATAATTGTGATTTCTTTCTGATTTTCTCTTCTTTTTAATGCAGTTTCTGCAGAAAGAGACTTTAAAGCATCAGCCTCAAATAGCCAAAATGCCGTCGGTATACCTCCATTGACTTCTGTTTTAGTAAAGCCCCAAGTCGGTTGTAATGAGGATTATTTGCTTTCCAAATTACCATGTGATGGTAAAGAAGTACCATTTGTGGTGCCCAGGTTTAAATTATCTTATATTCAGCCGAGGACACAAGGAACTCCTTCACATTTGGATGAACTGGAAGGTAAACAATGAAATATCAGGATTTAAAAGTCAACATGGACCATTTAAATGCTAATAATATTATTTTCTTTTGCTTTTTTATATCTTTCACACAAAGTTTATACAAATATTTGTAGTTTGAGTTTTATAAGTTCTTTTCTGTAGAACAGCTTAATGAATAGTATTTTTGAAATATCCCATTGTAGAAACTGGCAATAATATAACATTGCACATTTATATATAGTTTGGCTTAAAATGATTTATTTTTATTTGTATCTGTGGATATGTTTATGTCTGTGTATACCACATACGTTTTGATGCCAGTGGAGGCCAGAAGAAGGTACTAGGATCTCCTGGAGCCAGAGTTATAAGTGGTTGTGAGCTGCCAGTGTGGATGCTGGGAACTGAACTTGAGTCCCCTGGAAGAGCAACAAGTGCTTTTACTATTGAGCCATATCTCCAGTTCCTCCAGTTTGACTTTAAAAACTAGTTATATTATTCTAGAAAGAAAAAAGTAAAAGAATTTAATCAGTAAATAATGACACAGAAATAGTTTACTTACTATTTCCTAAAATTTGGTACAGTTAAAACATAGGAAAAATTTCAAGCATATAAAGGAGTTGAAAGAAGGAATACTTTTATATCTTAAACTTAAGTTGTCTCATTAATGACTTACTGTATATTTTTTAATCATTGATCTATGTAACTCCATACTTCTATCCAATATTAGTCCTCTTTTTGGCAGGGAATAGGTGAAACATTTAAGAATAAATTGAAGTCAACAATATGTTCCTTCTAAATACCTGTATATATTATTTATTGAAGTTTACCAATCTAATTACAACTTTATTTTAACTTATATCTTAAGTACAATGTACTTTTTAAAACTACTTTTGAATTTTGTGTGTATTTGTTGAGTTTCAAATATGTATTTGATAGTGACAAAAACATATAATAGTATAGTTCATACACACATCAAGATATATATTGCTTATTCAAATTTTTTTCTGTTTCATCTTCTTTCTATCTTTTAATTCTGATTATATACATTTTGACCTTTTGATATCATTCTGTGCGTCTCTGAGACTGTTACTTTTCCTCAGTAATTTTTCTTTAGTTTGAGAATAATTGGCTCATTTTCAAGTTTATGGTCTCTCATTTGTCATCCTCATTCTGCACTTAAGTTTGTCTTTTGAATATTTTATTCTAAACATTGCATATTAGAATTTGTGTTTGGTTCTTTTTTGTATATTTACTCTCTCCCTGGCAATTTACCATATATTATTGTAAAATCATGTTCTTCTATGGCTTTTAGCCAGTTATAGTGGTGTACATACGTTATTTCAGTGTCGAGGTCATCCATCTAGATTGAGGTTCTGGCAGTGGCACTTTTCCCTTTGGAAATGGATCACATATTTCACTTTGTGTGTGGACTAATTTGGGGTTATAGTCTGGATATTTAATGATATTGTGGAGTCTCTGCATTTGGTCACATTTGAGAAGTCTTATTTCCTTTTCCATCCCTTCCAGTTTCCTTCCAGACTTATAACTTAGTTGAACATGGATTACAAGTTCTGCCTTGTATGGAAGCCCTTGAGTTTTGGTTCAGGAACTAGTCAGATATTTGATCAAATTTGAGAATTTCTCCTTTCCAAGACAACCTTTTCACCACAACATCGCTGATAGCTGGGAACACTGCTCTCTAGTTTATCGGCCAGTCTGCTATTTGAATTTTGTATATTCTGCATAGTGCTAGCTTTGGCTTACAGTAAAACTAAAAGTCAACTGAAAAAAAATTAAGAAATATATAGCAATATATGATAATTCTTCTTTTGTTCTTTTCATACACTTATTAGAAAACAAATTGGATTCTGAATTAAATAGGTAAAAGAATTGCTTAACTCTTAAATTATAGGCTCATTGAGAATGTTGAAAACTATCTAATGTAATCTAAGATATCTTCAAGAGAGTCCTCTTGGAACCTAATCATAGAAGTCAAATATATGAATATTTGTGTGTATATATGAGTAATGAAATGTGGTGGAGGAGGCAATTCTGAGATAACAAGGCCACTATCAATAATAACTAAAACTGTTAAGTATTAGAAGTTTGTCTTGTCCCATTGTTTATCAGCTAATGGGGCTGATTACAGCTGTCCCTTACCTAGTTCTTTACTGTACTGACAACAGATTTTATCATTAATTTTTTTTAAATCAATGCCTACTTACCTATCCACTAAAGGTGATAGATATTGTGGCTTAACATTTTTTAGCTACTTTTTAAAGAGGGGTAAACTATCATTTAGTGTCACATTCAGTTTTATAGCATTTGGTTTAGTAAACTGAGGAGAATTCCAGTTGAACCTAGGATTTCATTGTGTATTGTCTGAAGGAAAAAATTGAATTCTTTAGGAAGTTAATTGTATGAAAGAAAAACGAAGTGAGAATATTATTATATTTTAGGGATAGCTTATAAAAGTAATGAGCCATCTTTGATAGACTGAGGGTCTTTAGTAATCATAATAATAACTACAATAACTATATTATATTATATTATATTATATTATATATTTATTTATATGTTAATATGAATATATTTATTATATGCTATATATAAAGAAAATGTTTTATTTATATTATATAAATATATAATTTATAATTATACATTATGTAACATATACTTATATCATAACTGTAATGATAGGTAGATAATGCTCTTAGGACCGTTGTGATTTTGTTGCCATAAACTAAGACTTCTGGTAGTGTTTTGTTTATGTGCTAAGTGATTTGAGGATTAGTTTATAAGATATATAAATAATGGCTCTTAGACATCACAACTTTTCAGAATCTCCCAGCTCTGTACTATAGTTGGATTGTGCACAGTATTAACTGAACCAGAGTGAAGATAAAATTTCACCTAATATTTTCTTTTCTGAACTCAGTGTGAATAATTTGTTTTTATCATTTAACTTAATTTAAAAAAATACCAGTTTAAACTGTAGGTTGAATTTTAAGTAGGACAAAGTAGGACAGAGAAGCAAAGATGACAATAATTTAAACTTTTTCTTTTATAAATTTTTGTGTTTGTGTGTGTATAATGTATGTGTGTGTGTGTGTGTGTGTGTGTGTGTGTGTATCTGAATGTGTGTGTGTATACATGTGCACAAGTTTGTGGACACCAGAGATTGACATTGGTTGTCTCCTTCTATTGCTTTCCATCCTGTTTTTTTGAAGCAATGTCTTTCTCTGAGCCCAGAGATTATCAATTGGCTCTGGAAATCCTCCTGTCTTTGTCCTTTCAGAGCTAGGATGACAGACAAGTGCCAACAAAATTGGTTCTTATGAGTGGTGGAGAGCTAGATTCAGGCACTCCTGTATGTATGGCAGGCATTTACTGACTAAACCATCCCTTAAATTTAAACCTTTAAAAAATATATGGGCAGGTATATGGGTGCATGCATATATGGAATTCAGAAGGCAACCTCTGGTGACATTTTGAGGGACCTCATTGTAGTAGTACCCAATTTGTGCTACACAAATCAACAGAGGCAGACAGACAGACACACACACACACACACACACACACACACACACAGCCTTTATATTTTAATATACCTAAAACAGCTCAATGATTGGGCCAATTCCCAACCTTCACGTGGCTGATCCAGTCCCCTCTGATACTCCTGAGTTATTACTTACTAAAATCTATATTCCATCTTTGCTGCTCTAGACCCAGACATTCAGTCCTCTTGGACTATGATCCCTGGAACCTATCTGCACCTCTCAGGCATGATCTTCCCCTCCTTCCCTGGCATGGTGGCTGTCATCTTCCTGCTCCTCCTCCGGCCCTTGCCCAGGAATCCTAAAAGATCCTCTCTGTCTTCCTGCCCAATTATTGGCCACTGGCAACTTTATTTACTCCCTCAGTCTTACATGCTGGACACTACAAACAGGTTTCTGGGAAACCTAATTAGCATGAGAATAGACGCAGCTACATTTCCCTCTTTTTGTCCATTAAAAAGGCTTTTCTCTCAGATATACATTCACCTCCTAATCTTAGTCAGGGTTTCTGTTCCTGCACCAACATCATGACCAAGAAGCAAGTTGGGGAGGAAAGGGTTTACTCAGCTTACACTTCCACACTGCTGTTCATCACCAAAGGAAGTCAGGACTGGAACTCAAGCAGGTCAGGAAGCAGGAGCTGATGCAGACGCCATGGAGGGATGTTACTTACTGGCTTGCTTTCTTTCCTATAGAACCCAAAACTACCAGCCCCGGGATGGCACCACCCACAATGGGCCCTCCCTCCTTGATCACTAATTGAGAAAATGCCTTAGAGCTGGACCTCATGGAAGCATTTCCTCAACTGAAGCTCCTTTCTCTGTGATAACTCCAGCTTGTGTCAAGTTGACACACAAAACCAGCCAGTACAAACAAGTGTTCTCAATAGCTGAGCAATCTCTCAGGTCCCTTGAGTTTTTTTTCTTAATTGTTACATATTTTCTTCTTAATTGTTACATTAAAAAATTCTTGGTTCTTAGTATTTCTTTTTTTAATTTTTATTCTCTCATATATTTCATCCTACAGTTTCATCTCCCTCACCCTTCTCTTTTCCCCACCTCTCCTCTTCCCCAGCCCCCACCCACCCCATTCTATCTCCCCTCAGAAAACAGTAGGCCTCTCAGTGACATCAAACAAACACAACACAACAAGATACAATAAGACCAGGCATATACCGTCACATCAGGGTTCATGAGGCAACCCAGTAGGTAGAACAGGGTCCCACAAGCAGGCAAAAGAGTCAGAGATGGCCCCAGCTCCCACTGTTACTCCCAAGCTTCTCAGGTATAACATTTATGCAGAGGACCTAGGTCAGACCTCCACAGGTCTGATCTCTGTGAGCCCACTTGAGTCCCAGTCAGTTGATTCTGTTGGCTGTGTTCTTGTTGTGTCCCTCACCCCTCTGGTTCCTCTGATAGGAACTCCTGCTTGTCTTTAGGACTCCCCAAGTTTTACCTATATGTGGTTGTGGGATTTTGCATCTGTTCCCAGCAGTTGCTGGATGGAGTCTTTCTGGTAGTTCTTTTTAGTATTTCTGTAAAAGTTTTCTATTAATTTTGTTGTCATTTTTCAACTTAATTGCATTGTGGTCAGAAAAAGTTTTGACCTTTTCTGAGTCTTTTTGTTTTGAGTCCTCTCAAATAAAAGATCTGCTTAGTGTAGCTTATTGCATGTGGTCAATTTTTAAATTGTTGTCTTCTTAAAAAAGTATATAAAACTAATTTCATTTAAAAGATATTATACATATAAGTAGAAATATAAGAGGAAATTCAGGTCATGAACTACAGAATTTTGTATAGGGCAAATAAAAATGTTAAAAATTTGCCGGGCTGTCTTAAGAGCAGGATACTTGGCTCGTTCCTTGTATACATCATGAAGTTAGAATTCTATAAATGTGTGCTGGTTAAGGCATATGCTTTAGTATCATTTATGACAAAGTGTTTTTAACCTGTCCCTTCAGTATATCAGCTGTTGGTTATAGAAACACTTGCTTTCAGGATCTGCTAGAGCATCTTTTGGAGATCAAAAGACAGAACTTTGTAGTTCATTCTACCATGGACCCAGCTATGATGTGTATAATCCATGCTATATGTATCAACACTTTTCACCTGATTTAAGTAGGCGTTTTCTTTCTCATCGTGAAACAAAAAAGTTATATGGATCTGGTAAGAAAACAATTTTTTTTTGCATTTCCTCTAAGCTTATTTTTAACAAATTTAGAAATTATATTTAAGATCCTGCAGAAATAGTTATTAAGAACAGTTTTAAAATAAGAGCAAAGCAGACTTCACAAATGTGTGATAAGTGTCATGACTTTTTTCTGGTGTTATAATTAGTATAAATGTTGTCCTTATAAGAGTTGTTTTGGGCCGAGCGGTGGTGGTGCACGCCTTTAATTCCAGCACTTGGGAGGCAGAGGCAGGCGGATTTCTGAGTTCGAGAGTTTGAGGCTAGCCTGGTTTACAGAGTGAGTTCCAGGACAGCCAGAGATACACAGAGAAACCCTGTCTCGAAAAACCAACCCCCCCCCAAAAAAAATAAAGTATTGTTTTGGTCATAGTATCTGTTCACAGCAGTGAAACCCTAACTAAGACAAGCACCAACCAAAGAATATACATGGAGGAACCTATGGCTCCAGCTGCATATGTAGCAGAGGATTGCCTTATCTGGCATCAAGGGTAGGGGAGGCCCTTGATCCTGTGGAGGCTCAGTGCCCCAGTATATGGGAATGATATGGCAGTGAGTCAGGAGTGGGTGGGTGGGTGGGGGAGCACCCTCATAGAGGCAATGAGGAATGGTGTAGGAAGTTTGCATAGGGGAAACCGGGAAGGGATATAACATTTGAAATGTAAATAAATAAAATAATCAATAAAAAAGGAAAAAAGATGGACAGATAATATGTCTGCTGATAGTTCCAAATTCCATTTCTTTTTTCTTTTTTAAAAGTTTTTATTACAGATTATTTTAAATACTTTTTTGTTATATACTTAATAAATTCCACAACAGATATTTATAATATTTTTTTGTTCTAGTCAGGTAAATGACTTTTAGAACTCATGATTGGAAGTACATACAAAGAGAATAGAAAGTAACCAAAAGTTTTTAGTTTGATATTTGAGACTATATCAATTATATGAACTACCATCTGTATCTTGGCTTCATAAATTTCTCAGGTTTTCAGGTTCTACAAGTCTATATGCATGCATGTGTCAGTGTCACTGAAAATAAAAAAAATATCTTATTAAGGGTCTGCTCTAGCACTATGCTAGAACACACACTTGGTGTGTAAAGTTCCTTTTTAAAAGATCTTACAGTTTGTGAGGAGAACTAGAAATATAAGAACTCATGGGATTCAACATTGAAACATTATAATGTTATATGTGCTCAGAAAACCATAGTTGAATTACATTTATCAAAGAATACTTACATCCTGTTAAGTTAATTTTTATGGATGAGGGATTGGGGAATATAAGCAAACTCATGCTTAGTATTTAATATGGATATGAAAATATATTGTTCGATTACTAGAGACTTCTGCCTTAAAGATTAAAATAATTTAACCTTTTTAGATTTTACTAAAATTTCTTTTAATGTAAATTTATATATAATATATGTGATGAACTCCTACTGTTTTATTTCTATTAAAACCCCTTTTTTCTTGTCCTTTTGTAGTTTGTGATTTAAGGACCAGTAAACTTTCTGGTTCCCCTGGGCTAAGCAAATCTATGCTCGATCTTACAACTTCATCTCAACGATTCATCCAGGTATAATAATTATATAATTTCATTATATCTGAACTATTTCAAATAAAAAAATCAGAACTATGTGAATTGCTTTAGGAATCACATGTATTTTTGTGACTATGTGTATTATAATATCTGAAGAATAAATACTTGTCATTTCCTATATTCATTAGTTTAGGAAATTTTCAGTGGTTAATAAAAGGTATTATATTTCTTTCATTTTGCATAATTTTGTATTTCTTAATTGGTATGCACTGAAATATCTTAAAGTAATTGGGATTTGTAATTGTATAGTTAAAACTACTTATTTAACTTTGTGTTTTGAACATAACCAGGCAGTTAGTAAGAATTAGTATTTCTATTGAGGTTTAAGACTTTAATTTTTATTAATAGCAATATAGCATCCTTTGATAGATTTAATGTTTTGTTTTTAGTTCAGCTAAGTTCTGTTTGAAATTAGGACATAAGCCAGAAATGATCCCTATGTTTGTGATCCTAGCATTTAGAAGGCTGAAGCAGTAGGATCAGTTAAGAATATGTGGCCAACCTGGGCGACATAGTAATAAAACTATGTCTGAAAACATCAAAAAGGGAAATAGCAATAGAGAGAAGAAAAGTTTAAAGTAAAGTCTTCTGTCTTTCTGTAAACAAGAGTAATAGTACTCTGAACATCTTTTTACATATATTTATGGACTTCTTTTTAAGTTCATTCTCAATTAACCTTAATGATTCTATCATTAATTCTCAAATAATTAAACTTTACACTAGGACTATCTAAGACCCACCAGCAATATAAATAATGACACAGAGGCTTAATAATATTTTAAAGCCTAGGCCTTTTGCTGAGCAGTCTCCAGACTACTCTATCCAGACTAAACCTGGCACTTGCCACATAGTCAGGTGTACTTCTCTGCCCAGCTCTTGTCCGTCTGTCCATCTCCATGTCAGCTGCTACCTCTGCCTCTGATTTCTTCTCCTGGAGTCTCTCTTTCCAGAAGATCCACCTTACACTTCCTGCCCAGATATTGGCCAATCAGTTACAGTTCTAGAATGCCTTAGGCAGGTAAGGAAGAATGAATATTTACAAAATATGAGACCAGTGATGGGCCATTATCTCTCTGCTGGTACAGAATTAACAATTGAATATACAGAGACATACCTTTACACAGTGTACCCCAACTAATGCTTTATAATAGCACTCTTTTAACACACATCTGAATTGTTTATTTTGTTAAATACAAAATGTCAAGACTTCATTCACCCCTAGAATTTTCAATTCAGTAGTCCTCTGATGGTCTCTGATTTTTTATTTGTATAGTTTGCACGATGCAAATGCTCTTGGTCTAGAGAGATTATGCTATAATAGTGTTTTACACTTTAATAGGTTTCTGGACACTTCTGATAATGCATGCAATATGAAAATTAAGACCAAACCCAAAATACTAAAGGTTTTCTAATGTTGTTACCTACTAAGGTATTTCTCAATACATGTTACAAGTTTCTTTCCTCTTCTACAAGGGTGGGAAATTCGGACCAATAACATTGACAAGTGGATTAACATGGAGTTTGATACCAAGGTGTTTATTGGGGCATAAGTATGAACATTTTTAAAGTTTGATATTCAGTTTCTGATTGAAGCATATTGTTGCTATTGTTATTGTTGTTGCAGAGACATGACTCATTTTCCAGTGTGCCTAGTAGTTCTTCTTCAAGAAAAAATTCTCAGGGCAGTAACAGAAGCCTGGGTAAGCAATACAGTGTCTTATTTATACTGTTCAGCAGGTTATTTCTACTTAGTAATAGCTTGTCAGTATTATAATTGGATAAAGAAAAAAGTGTGCAATACATTTTGTCTGCTGAGTATTGTACCAATGTTGATAGTATTATCACAAATTGAGATCAGATAGCCTATGGCTCAGTGTCCCAGCAGAAATAAGTTTTTTTTTTTAAAATAAGCTGTTACATATCTTTTTATTTATGATTTAAAGTACATGGATTAAGGAACTTTCAGAAGCACATTGACCTGGTAAATGCTGATTGCAGAGTTTTAACTTAATTCCTCACAGTTCTGTTAAATTCCTAAACGATATGCATTCTTAGTGTATTTTATTTCTAGGACTTTAGTACAAAACACAGAAGTGTGATCTTTATCTTACTACCTTGAAAACGTAAAAACCTGTATCAGTTATTGCTAGGCACAGTGGTACATTTCTTTAATTTCAGCACTTGGGAGTGAGAGGCAGACAGATCTCTGTGAGTTCAAGGCCAGCCTCATCTACAGAGCGAGTTCCAGGACAGCCAGGGCTACATAGTAAGATATTGTTTCAGAAGTCCAAAACATTTGTTTTATTTGTGCTTTCAAAATTGGTTTAAATCAAAGGTTAATTGGATTAACAATATTGCGTGGAATTTTTATTATTTCTCCTTTATAATTCAGATACAATTACCCTATCAGGAGATGAAAGAGACTTGGGGAGATTGAATGTGAAATTGTTTTATAAATCTTCAGCAGAACAGATCTGGATCACAGTTTTACAGGTAAATTAGTGTAGTTAATATTGATTTTTATTATAAAATTGAATATTTTGTATTTATTTTTATATAATTGAAGATAAAAATTATTCAATTATTTTATATTCATTCCTTTATATTCATTCAATTAGGCTATATTTTATAACCTACAAGTATGGCTTCCTTCTGAGCAAAGGGTCAATAGCTATCTTCAAATTTAGGATTCTATTGTATTTTCCAGAAAAGAGTGTTTAATAAAGTGTTTAACACTGAAACTGCTAGAAGAAAACAGGGAAAGCACTTCAAGATACAGGCATAGGTGAAAACTTTTTGATTAGAACTCTGAAGCACAGGAAATTAACAAGATTATCCAACCCAGAGATTAACAAGTGGAATTTCATGAAATGTAACAATTTATGATCAGCAATGAAACTATCAGCACAGTGAATGCACAATCTGAAGAATGGGAGAAAATCTTTGCCAGTTATCCTTTAGGCAAGGAGTTAATATGTAGAATATAAGAACTGAAAACATGAAACACCAAACCCCCAAACTGCCAAACAAATGAGCTAAGAACTCAACAGATAGTCCTTGAAAGGAGAAATACAAAAGGATACTACATTCTAAGATAGTACTGGGGGGATTGGATTTGTAGAAGCAGAGAGATGCAGTTCTACCTACTGTTGCCCTAGTTGGAGTGGACAATTAGTTGGCAGGGTTTTTTTCTGATACTACACCTCTTATAATGGAGAGTAGATATGTGTTTCTATGTATATATATCGATCAAAACTACATGTAATGGACGAGTCAACATCTTTCATTTTGATGTCATAGAAAATTTGGACATTACTGTGTGATTTATGACATCTATGACATGTTCTACTTATTTTTCTTGCTTCACATTGTCAGGAAGACTTTGAAATTAAAAATAACACAGATTCTAAAAGCTTAGGGATGTGACTAAGTGTCCTAGCTCCCATGATGTAAAACCATTTTAAATATGAGGAAGGAACTTATCTCAAAAATATTTTATTTTGGGGAACTTGTATTCATTATGTAAAATTGCAAGAATCAGTGTTACAGTCCAACAGATATGCAGAAAATTCATTGGCATACAGAATTACTTTACCCCTCATCTCCCGAACTCGGTTATCATTACAATGAATTATGTAGTCAGGTCTACATTGTCTTTAGTTTCCACATCAAAGAAAGAACAGGTAGGTTTTGTTTTTCTTAACATTCATTTTATTTTTCCTTCCACCTCTCTGTCTCTGACAGTGTATCTCTCTCTTCTCTGTCTCTATATATCTCTGTCTCTCTCTTTATCTTTCTCTGTCTTTTTCTTTCTCTTCTGCCATCATACTGGATTTTTAAAAATTAAAATAATGTTAAACTTTTCATATATTGTATGTTAGGCATATGCACCCTTCCCTTCCCATTTCCTTCTCAATATTCATCTTTTCACTATCATTAGTTTTCTTTGTACTCTTAGACAGTTTTACTTAGTTCATGTTATAAATACTTTTATAAATCTACATAAAATTGAAATCCACAAATATGAAAATATATGTATTTGTCTGCCCAGATATTTGGAAATTTACCTAAATGACTCCAAGTCAAGATATAACAGTGGTACTTGCACATCAGTGTCTATTGTAACACCACAGAACTCACCTAGGTGTTTATATTAGTCAGAGTTCTCCAGAATAATAGAAATTGTAGAAGATCTGTCTGTCTGTCTGTCCATCCATCTGTCCATCCACCCACCCATCCAACCAACCATCTATCCATCCATCCATCTGGACAAAGAATTTGTTAGAGTGGCTTATAAGCTATGGTTCAGCTTTTCCCACAATGGCTAGCAAGGAAAGAAAAAAAATCTAAGAACCCAGTAGTTGCTCAGTCCATGAGTTTTGATATCACAGCTGGTCTTCAATAAATACTAGAGTACCAAAGAAGTAGGGCATTATGTGAGTGAAGGAGTGGATTTGCTAGCAAGGCAAGGGCAGAAAGGTAAAGAACAAATGATTCCCTGTTACATGTCCTTATATATAGGCTTCTAGTAGAAGGCTTGGCTCACATTAGATCGGAATGAAAGCCTTTCTTTTTTCAGGTCAAAAGATCTGTATTACAGATGAGTCTTTCTACATAAAAGATTTGGTGTATAAGTAGAACTTTCTACTTCATATTAAATAAAAATTCACTCACAGGTGTGCTCTGAATTTTTGGTATTTAGGTCTAGATGTGATGTATTCACTTTGCCAACCAGGACTAGCCATCATTCTGTACATAAACAAAGGAAAATGTGTTATTTACATGATGTATTTCTTTTCAAATATAAATAAGATGAAGTCTTTTCATTGGCAAGAAAATGGGTGCAAATGTAAAAATCTCTAATGAGTGATCTACTTCATTTAATATTCCAATTAATGTTAAGGATATAGAACATAATTCTTTTTATGGAAGAATAGTGTTTTTTACATACGTAAATATAGCACATGATCTACATATCTATATATGATTCCATATTTTGCTACTTGTTATTAGTAGTATTGCAGTAAATATGAATAAGCAGCTGTTTCTTTGATATATTGAGTTCATTTTACACAGATGTGAGAGGTTTGGACCACATGGCCAATATATTATTGGTAGAGTGTCATTTAATTTCTGAATTTCAACAATACAGACTTCATTTAGTTCCCACTGAGATCAAAGTTTATGTTACAAAGACAAAGAGTATGTCTTAAATGGTCCTCATGTGTTCTATGCAATATTATAGTAAAGTTTACTTTCATATTAAGATACACCTTAATACTGAGGTACAAAAGCTTTACTGGTAGAATGTTCTAATTCATTCAATATATATATGTATATGTATATATTTCTTCACTATATATATATTATATATATAACATATATATATAATATATATAATTTATAATTCATTCTCTCTATATATATCTGTATGTATATATTGACCTATTAAAATTAAAGAATTTAATAAAAAAAGAATGTTCAGTATCCTCAGACATCAAGTAAATGCAAATTAAAACTTCTTTGAGATCCTATCTCATCCCATTCGGAATGGCTATCATCAGAAGATGAATGACAACAAATACTGGTCAGGGTATTAGGGTAAAGGAACCCTTTGCAGGAGTGTAAACTGGTGTGAACATTATGGAAATCATTGTGCAAATGCTTAAATAACAAAACAAAACCCCAAATGCCAAAACCAAAAAGTGATCAAAACAACCAAAACTTGAAATAATCCCCACCCCAAAACTCAAAAATAGAACTACTAAAGGATTCCATTCCTAAGCATATACCCAAAGGTCTATAAATCCTACTACAGATATACTTGCACATTCATGTTTACTGTTTTACCATTTATAATAGAAGGGAAATTAAGTCAGCCTAGATGTCCATCAACATATGAATTGATGATAAAATATGGTACATATACTCAATGGAATTTTATTTAGCTATATAAGTTAAATTGTGAATGTTTCAGGAAAATGCATAGATCTGGAAATTAACAAGTGAGATAAGCATGACTCCCAAGACTATTACATGTTCTCTTTCATATTCTGACCCTCCTTTTAATTTTTATGTTTGCACTTATATATACATAAGTCAGGAAATTAGAAAGAGGAACTATAAAGGGGATGGATTTTATGTATTCTCTTTTCATTATTTGTTATGGAAAAGAGTTTTTAAGGAAGGGTTTAGGGATGATAATGGAATACTTGTTACTTAAATCTAGAAGAGTACAATTGGGAACAAGTTGAGAGGTGTGGCGAGGAGAGGAGTAGAGGAAGAGTGATGAACTAAGACAAAATTTGTATGATAATGTTATGAAGGAAAATGTCAGAATGTTAGTGTGGATAAAGCGTGAAATCTTAGTATTCTAAAAGTTATTTAAAAATCTTAACTAAAAATAATTAACTCAGTAGGCATGGTGGCTTATACCTCTTATCCCAGCACTTTGGAGGCAGAGGCAGGTGGATCTCTGAGGCCAGCCTGGTCTACATTGCGAGTTCCGAAACAACCAGGACTATGTAAAGAGACCTTGCCTCAAAAAAGTTATTAACTCAATACATATATGTGTGTTGTCAGAGGCCTTTGTAAAAACTTAACTTATGCTTTCATTTTTTTTTAAAGTGCAGAGATATAAGTTGGCCCTCTAGTTATGGAGACACTCCCACAATTTCTATAAAAGGCGTTTTAACATTGTCCAAACCAGTACATTTTAAATCTTCAGCCAAAGAAGGTTCTAATGTAAGTGGCTCTTTGTGTTTGAATTTTTCATTCTTCTCTTGTTACTTTTATTTATGTAAAATGTGAGAATAAGAAAGTATTTTAATTTGGACAAGCTAAAATGATGTACTTTTGCTTTTAAAAGGTATTTTTATTCTCTGATAGTAGATGAATTTAAAAAGAAAACTAATTACTAGCATATGTAGAAGATTAGCAATAAGTAAGAAACTTCTTTATTTGTTCCCAGCAACTTGGCTTTGAAAAGTCATTGCAAAATTGTAGTTAATCTGTTTCTCAAAATCTTCCAAATATTATAGCTAGAAGGTTTATTATCTTTAGTTTTGTTTTATAGATTTTTTTCATATTAATTTAAAGAACTGTCCATTACTGTCATTTGATATTGTTAAAAGTTAAGTTTTTACGTACAAATGAAATGATATTTTAAAAAAATATTTAAAATCCTTTATATTTAAGTGTGTGTGTGTGCGTGTGTGTGTGTGCGCACGCACAGGTACACATTGAAGCCAGAGGATTGCATCTCCTCAAGTAGAAGTTAACAGGTGGTTCAAGCCACTTGAAATTGATGCTGAGACTTGAACTCAGGTCTACTGCAAAAACAGTATGCACTCCTTATTTTTACACACACACACACACACACACACACACACACATATATATTATAGATTGGGAGTGGGCAGCCTTGTCTTGTCCCTATTTTAGTGTGATTGTTTCAAGATTCTCTCGATTTAATTTGTTGTTGGCTATTGGCTTGCTGTATATTGCTTTTATTATATTTAGATATGTGCCTTGAATCCCTGATCTTTCCATGACTTTTTTTTTTTTTTTGGTTTTTCAAGACAGGGTTTCTCTGTGTAGCCCTGGCTGTCCTGGAACTCACTCTGTAGACCAGGCTGGCCTTGAACTCAGAAATCCGCCTGCCTTTACCTCCCAAGTGCTAGGATTAAAGGCGTGCACCACCACTGCCCGGCTTGCCATGACTTTCATGAAGGGGGATTGGTTTTTGTCCAGTGCTTTTTCAGCATCTAATGAAATGATTATGTGGGTTTTTTTTCTTTCAGTTTGTTTATATAGTGACTTATATTGATAGATTTTCATATATTGAACCATCACTGCATTCCTGGGATCTACTTGATCATGGTGAATGATGCTTTTAATGTGTTCTTGAACTCAGTTTGAGAGAATTGTATTGAGTATTTTTCTGTCAACGTTTATAAGCAAAATTGATCTGAAGTTCTCTTTCTTTGTTGCATCTTTTTGTGGTTTAAGTATCAGAGTAACTGTGGCCTCATAGAATGAATTAGGTAGTATTTTTTTCTGTTTCAATTTTGTGAACTAGTTTGAGGAGTATTGGTATATAATAGATTGGTATTAGCTGCTTGAAAGTCTGGTAGAATTCTGCTCTAAAACGATCTGGCACTGGGCTCTTTTTGATTGGGAGACTTTTAGTGACTGTTTCTGCTTACTTAGGGATTATGGGACTCTTTGGATAGATTACCTGATCTTGATTCACCTTTGGTAAGTGGTATCTGTCTAGAAATTCATCCATTTCATTTTCATTTTCCAAAGCTGTGTGCTTTGGCTGCCAACATATTAATGTTGTTAAAGACAAGGTTTAACACAATGGGCAGGAATAAAAGTATTCCCAGGACAAAAACGACTAGCATGATCAAGCTATATATGCCATTCTTGCAGCTTGGCCAAAATAGAAATACTGACCTCAGGCCATGGGAAATTTTATCAGCAGTATCAGTCACGTCAACATTTAGCAGAGCAGCTTTCTTTAAATTTGTAAGCTCACTATGCAAAGTTAAAACATCCAGAGAGGTGATAGAATTATGCCAAATACACTGCAAGTGTCTTTAAACTTTTTCCTAATTATAATGACTACCATTGTAAATTTTAGAACTATCATGAATCTAGTGATATTTGGCATGACACTCAAGGTGGCTCCTTACTCTTAAACTCTGAACCTCCTTCCAATAATTATAATGGGATAAAGAGCATCAATCCATTTTTTCCAAATGCCTATCTAAATCCTCTTATATATTCAACAGATTAGTAACATTTTTTTGCTAAATGATTAACGAAAGTAGCTGTCTTAACTTCTTGTGTCAAAGCAGTTACAGAAGCAATAGTGCTAGCAATTAATGAAATTAAAGCTGTTATACCAGCAATAATCAAGCCCACTACCCTCTTGCCTCTGCTTAAAAGTTGATTCACTTCTTCCAGTACTTGCAAGCCTTTTTCAGAGTACCAAGATTCTGTAATACTCAGGGCAATAAAACAAAAGCTGGTTGATAGACATGCTGGGTTTTAACACAATTAGAAAGTGTACAATCAATGTAACTTACATTAAATACTGTAGAAGAAACAAAAGTAATTTTAACTTGTCAATTAATAGAGCCTTAACACATGTACTAACAATTGTTTGAAACCCAGGTCCTGTCCCAGCTTTAACTCTTGCTAACATAACATCATAGAAAACTGCAGGTGACTTTCAAATATATTTCTGAAAATGTACAGAACCAGCCTTCCAAATGAAGACTGTTATTTCCAATATTGGGTTGATTTCTAGACCTGTCCATGATTGAGTCTGGTCACATTTAAGGAAAATGCAAGAGTCATTATAACTTTTCTTTTTGATTATCTGTTCCACAAGGTCTAATAACTTGAGGCAAGATAAGTTGTTCCATCTGGGGTATAGGTAAGCAAAGGTAGGTCAGGAACATATGTCCACTATAGCTTCCCAGTCACCATTGTCAGGGCACTCAGCAAGCTCACAGGTCAGCATCATTCTTTATCCTGGCATCAGCATCTCACCTGTTGCTCTGGCAGCCACCATGCTCCGTCAGCATCCTGCAGAAAAAACACAAACATGGCCTTTTCCCCATATTAAATAACTGATCAGGATCATGCCATATGCCAGTAAGTAGATCCTTCCCTTTCACCTATGCATAAGTATGCCTAGTTGTAGAGTGCCATAGACATTCAGTTCCTATGATCCTGGGTATGTTAGAGCTCATGGGAGTCCAGCCTCCTCTGGGTTTTGTGGGATTAGGTGCAGAGCTGGCACCCTAGGACTGCTCAGGGCACCAGCTCAGACTGGTGGAAGGAGTTATTTCAGTCTTCTTGTGTCTGTTGAGGTTTGCTTTGTGGCCAATTGTTTGGTCAGTTTTGCAGAAGGATCTATGATAATGCTGAGAAAAAAGATATATTCTTTTGTTTTGGTGAAATGTTTCCGTTAAATCCACTTGGTTAATAACACTGGTTAGTTTAAATGTTTCTCTGTTTAGTTTCTGTTTCTATTAACTTTCCTTTGGCGAGAATGGAGAGTTTAAGTTCCTCACTATTATTTTGTGGGGTTCTGTGTGTGATTTGAACTTTAGTAAAATGTCTTTTATGAATTGTGTGTTCCTTTGAATTTGGAACATAGATGTTCAGAATTGAAACTTTATCTTGGTGGATTTTTCATTTGATGAGTGTGGAGTGTCCTTCCCCGTCTTGTTTGATAACTTTTGGTTGAAAGTCTATTTTAGGAGATATGAGAATGGCTAATCCTGCTTGTTTCTTCGGTCTTTTTTCTTGGAAAATCTTTTTCTAGTTCTTTCCTCTGAGGTAGTGTCTATCTCTTTTGCTGAGATATGTTTCTTTATGCAGAAGAATGGTGGATACTGTTCACATACTCAATCTGTTATCCTGTGTCTTTTTATTGGTGAATTGAATCCAGTAAAATCCAACTGATGTTGAGAGCTATTAATGACCAATAATTGTTAGTTCCTTCCTGTTGTTTTATTGTTGTAGGTGTTTGTGTTTGTGTGTCTGTGTGTGTGTCTGTGTGTGTGTCTGTCTGTGTGTGTTTATATTTGTATATATGTAATTTTCTTCTTTTGGTTTTGGTGTGAGATGATTAAGATGATTAATTTCTTGTGTTTTCTTGGGTGTAATTGCCTTCCTTGTGTTAGTGTTTTCCTTTAGTATTCTCTGTAAGGCTGGATTAGTGGAAAAATATTATTAAATTTGGTTTTGTCATGGAATATATTTGTTTCTTTATCTGTGGTGATTGAGAATTTTGCTGGTTATAATAGTCTGGGCTGATATCTGTGATCTCTTAGAAAATGTAGGACATCTGCCTAGGCCCTTCTGGATTTTAGAGTCTGTTGGGAAATCAGGTGTAATTCTTATAGGTCTGACTTTATATGTTCCTTGGCCTTTTCCCCTTTCAGCTTTCAATATTCTTTCCTTGTTATGTACATTTAGTGCTTTGATTGTCATGTGGTGGGAGGATTTTCATTTTTGGTCCAATCTATTTGGTGTTCTGTAGGGTTTTTGCATCTTTATAGCCATCTCTTTCTTTAGGTTAGAGAAATTTTCTATGATTTTGTTGAATATGTTTTGTGGCTCTTTGAACTGGGAATCTTCACTCCCTTCTATTCCTATTATTCTTAGGTTTGGTCTTTTCATAGTGTCCCAAATTTCCTGTATGTTTAGAGTTATGGACATTTTACATTTGGCATTTTCGTTGATCAATATATCAATGTCTTCTTTTTCTTGTATTTTTATTGGATATTTTATTTACATTTCAGATGTTACCCCCTTACCCCATCCCCCTCCCCCCGCTCAGGAGCCCCCTATCCCATCGCTCCTCCTCCTGCTTCTCTGCTGATGTGCCACTACCTATCCCCACTCCCACCTCCCCACCCTCGAATTCCCCCACACATGGCATCCAGCCTTCATGAGACCAAGGATCTCCTCTCCCACCTATGCCCGACATGACCATCCTCCCCTACATATACAGCTGGAGCCATGGATCCCTCCCTAAGTGCTCCCAGGCTGGTGGTTTAGACCCTAGGAGCTCTGGTTGGTTGGTATTGTTGCTCTCCTCATGGAAAAGCAGGATTCAGATTTAAAATCACTTCTCATGATGATGATAGAGGATTTTAAGGAGGACATATCAATATCTTCTATGGTATTTTCTGTGCCTGAGATTCTCTCTTCCATCT